TACTGTGCGGGGTTCAGGGTTCAGTGTGCTTGGGTGAGATGGTTTATGCCGCCACTACTACTACTACTACTACTACTACTACTACTGCTACTGCTACTGCTACTACTACTACCACTGCTGCTGCTGCTACTACTACTACTACTCCTGCTGCTGCTGCTACTACTACTACTACTCCTACTACTACGACTACTACTATTACTATTACTAGTACTATTACTACTACTATTACTAGTACTATTGCTAGTATTATTACTACTGCTGCTACTACTTCTAGTACTATTACTGTTACTGCTGTCACATACGATGGTTATTGCTGTTTTTTTGAAATCTTCGGGTTGCTACCATCATTGGCATCATTCGTCGTATTGCTCCGGTTGCTGTTCTGCTGTTGGTACACATCTTGCATTCAAGACCACGGATAGGCTTGTTATTGGAATGATATCCAGTACTGCTTTCATTGTTACGGCTTTTATTATGATTATGCTTGTTACTTTTGCCGTTACCTTCATTTTCATCATTGTTGTGCTGCTCGTATCCTCACGGCGAATATTGGCCTCGTGCTGTTCAACGGTGTAATGGTGATATACGTGGTGGAACTCTTCCTTTGGCTTGACATCTTTCGCAAGGCCGCACCCATCATCCAGACATCGTGCAGCGGCCCCGACAGGGATCTTTGACCCTGGACATCTACCGCTTCCGTTGATCCGGATGTTCTAACAAGAGGAAGCTTTTCGTTGCAAAAGCATTCATCTCCCTCGACGAGCCAAGCACAGGCAAGGATCCGTTTGTGTTTCGTACCGGACATTGCAGCAAAGGCAATCGGTCGTGGCGCTCGACGCACCCCATGTAGGAAGCAGCAGCATCGCCATCCAGGTTGATGGGCTGTTCCGAGGTTGCGGCTCCGTGGAGCACTAGAAGTCCGAGTACGCATCAGCTCCGTGGTGAGCGTGAAGTTAAGTGCTGTTCCGCACGAGGCGTTGACGGATTGAGCCGCCAAGCTTCTTCCAGCTATGACGTCACCCAATCACAGGCCATGGAGATACCGAGGAAGCGGTGGCAGAGCGGCAGGTGATGAACAAATCGGTTGGAGCAGTGTAAAGGCTTCTTCTCAGCCCTTCCGCAGGTATTGGTCTTTGACTTCCAGTGCAGCTCGCTGCGTCTACGTGTGCCAGGTTTGGGGGCTGCCCACGATTGTCGAGCTGCGACTTTACAAGCCTGCGCAAAACACACTCTGAAGCACGTGAGCTTTGAACCCGAAGTTTCTCCTAGAGCATACAAAACAAAGACGCAAACATCGGAAGCTTCCCCACTAAAAAGCCCTTGAGGCAGCGCAGCAGCTGGGTCAGCGAGGCGCCCTCGTTTTTGGAGGATCCCGCTTGTTCGACTGTGGGTAAATGTAGCGCTCCTCATGGGCTTACAGGTGTAGTGCTCAAACCCTAAACCCTGAAGGTCCTGTTGTCAGGCATGTCCGTGTGTGAGTGCTGAAAGGTCCCGTTGCAATGTGGTTGGTCTTGTGTTTTGCCGTCGCACGCGGCTGATTAGTAGCTGAATAGCAGCTTCGTCGTCTTGCGTGCTTGATTGTCTTGAAGCCGTGCCTGCTTCTGCGAGCGTGCGAGTCGAAACCCTAAACCCCTAAACCTCTAAACCCTAAGCCCTAAAAATTATGAACTTGTAAATATCCAAGACCTGGAGCCCTCCCAAACTTATTCGGCGTCTGCCTCCCATGGTTGAGGGTTTAGGGAGCCCCACAAGCTTTGCAATGATCTGTGAAGCCCCACAACCTTGGCAGTGCACCCATTCTCTGAATGTGGCACTCCGCACTGCTCTGTACACCACACGCTTGCCACAATCAAGAGCCCCTCATTCTAAATGAAGGAGCCATTTGCAAGGACGAAGCCCTCAGCCACGGAAAAGCATTAACCACGACTGCCGAGTCTGTGGCTACTGCTTGAACCCCCAGGCGAACTCCCAGACACTGTAGACCCGGAATGCAAGATCCTTGACGGTGAAGGCATTGAACGTGCTGATGCCTGAATCCTGAAAGCGCTCGACCTAAAAGGTACATCCTGTATGATATGCCCCAAGCCCAAATTCACACCCCATCCACCGCATATCCCGCTCGTGAGGTGTTGGCTTCCTTGATGCACCCGTGACTGGGGCCCCTGCGCGGGCAGCTGCGGGGACGCTCACATCCATGGTGGGTGTTCTCAAAAAGCAGTGCCGGATACAGTGAGCGTCCGGGTGCCCGCAGTTTTCGGAGTTCCTCTTCAAGTCTTCCGGGATAGTTTAAGACCATTTGCAGTAGGGGAGGGCTTCATGCGGCATGCAGCTAGTCCTGGGCCTACCCAGGCGTGACGACATGTGCATATGTGAAAAGATAGATGGGCTAAACGATAATTGGATCGTTGAAGAGTTCCTTTCTTGATAGAGGACTCTGCGTGCATACATGTGTACGATTGTGTATGTATAGACATGAGGGCAGGGAATCGAGGTACGGGAAAAATATGCCCAGGGAGCGAGTCGCCTACGGCTTCACAGGCATTTGCAGGACAGGAGTTTAATTTTTTTTGCGTTTCGGATTCAGGCTTTGGTCGGCGTGGTGCAATTCTTGCCCAAGGAAACCCAAACCTATGCCTCAACCGTAAACCCTAAACCCATCTCCGCCCCTCCACCCCTGAAGGTGGGTGGCTCCGAGAAGCACCTGGAAGCAGCCCGACCTTTCCTGGGAACCTTTGCTACGAAGATCCTGTCCCTCAGCTGGGCCTTTCCTGGCGGCTGCGTTTGGGGTGAGGATGTGGGGTTATGGCTATTTTCTCGTTGGGTTTGGGGTTGCCAAGATTTGAACCACGAGTATGTTGGCATGTTGGTCTTGCGATTGTTGCCAGTATGGTGCTAGAGACTAGCAAGCGCCACAGAGCGGAAGAAACATGCTTCGCTGCAGTTACAACTGCTGCAGGCACTCATAGGCAGTGGTGCCTCGCGGTAGAATCATCGTGACCACCACGATCCTGATTTCGACTGGGCTGTGGGCCTGGGGCCAGGGGTGATCTTGTCAGACTTGAGTTCAAGTTGAAGAGTGTTGTGGGGCCCCTTCTCAGCTTCTTGCGTCGTTGTGTGCCGCTTTCCGGGTTCGACATGCGTGCTACCGCGTGACCCTCATAGCATGCTCCTACTCCTGCCTTCGCTTCAGAAGAGGGCCACGCAGGCTGTGTTTGCTAACTGGGCGGTGCTTTCGGCATGAAAGCCCTAAGCTCTCAGGAGCTGTAGCCCGAAAGCAGCCCCGGCCCGAAACCCCGAAAGCACTAACCCTTAACCCGCCTGAACCCTGAACCTATATGTTGCATAGAACTCTTATAGAACCCTCAGCCCTATAGAATCCTTAGGGAGCATAATAGAGTCAATAGAACCGAAAAAACCCATCCCTGCCGGCCGGAGCGAGGCACATGGGTGAAGTCGGCAACGGTCAACTCGCGAAGGCTTTGAACAATTGTCCATTCCTCAGCCAAAAGGTTTAGGGTTTAAGCTTTGGGGTTTAGGGTTCTGGGGTCTCAAGGTTTTGGGCACTCGAGGCTTTCGGCTGGCGCTGCTGATCTTCATGACCTCCAAGCCTTCTGGACACTTGCGGTCATGCTGTCCACTATCCAGTTTCCTTCACGCTCTGCCACCACCCCGAACAGTTGCCGCCCAGCCAAGAGCCGGCAAGGCCTCTACAACGTCAGCTGCGCGGCCATGGCCGAAATGCTCCCTTTCGCCCTGCGCGCGGGGCTGCCGATGCCGGCCTTCGTGGACGCCGTCACATCGGGAACCGGGCAGCACCTGGGCTTGGCCTTTGGTTCCGGTCTTGGGGCCCTAGGAAAAGATACTTGTGTGGACACGGTATACATGGAGCAGGTATGTTTGTGTACTTACGTATGTGTACATGGAAACATACTCCTGACCGAAGTTGCGCTTTGAACCCGAGCACATGGAAGGCCAACGCCTCAACACTCTGCAGATGCCCCAGGTCCTTTGGTTTCAATCAATGGGCCCCTTTGGTCTTGCAGCGCAGCCTGGTGGATACAGCTGGCACATTGTACTATCCTTATATTGTGGTAATTACAGTATGTTGTATCTGTTTATATTACATGACATTCTAGTCTTTTTTGTTCTGTTTTCTTCTTCATTTCTTGAAGAATCCAGGGTCCTTTCGCCTGGGGCAAGCGAGGTCCCCAAGGCTCAAAACACAACGCGGGCCCTTTACTGGCCCGAAGGCGTCTCCACCAGCTCGAAGCTTCGAGGCCGACCAAAAGCAACGGAGACACATGGCCGTGGAGAAGCATGAAAAACCTAATATATGTTATTATATCCCGGGGATCCTGAAGTCTCAACTACCCTCTCCCCGACGCCATGCCCTAAACCATGCGCCCTGAACCCTAAGCTGCAATAGGTAATATAGAAGCGCCGAAAATCGCGAATCTTGTTTCTTAGGGATGCTCATGCTAATTTTGCTGCAATATGCCTCAAAACCTTCGTCTAATTATCGAGGCCCCTCCATTACACCGAGTGTTCAAGGTGAGTTCGAGGCGCCGAAGCACGGCTTTCCCATGGGGGCGGCTTTCAAAGACCTGGAGACGCTGGTAGCGGCGGCCTCTGCGCAAGGTGCCCTCTTCGGTGCGAAGCCCCACTGTCACAACTGGGTTTACTTTGGTCAGGGGCTTTAGGGCTCAGGATTCATGGGCTGCGAGACCCTAAACCCTAATTAAACCAGAACATCTAAACCGGCGAACCTGGAATCTAACGCTAAACCTTGCTGCTTGCAGTGGCTTGCAGTGCGAGAGCTGAGAACTCTACTCTAAGCCTAGTACCAGTGCGACTGAAGCCCTAGAATCCAAGTCTGAACCCGAAACCCCGCAAGGCCTCCCGGTACCCCCCGTCGTTGCGGCTACGTTGGCCACGTACCAGCGAGCGCTGGCTATGGGTCTCGGTGAGGAGCACAAGGGAGTCTTGGACAAAATGGCAGCAAGACCGAGCGGTAAGACAAGCCATACTGTAAGGCTTTTTTTTGGAGATTAGCCGTCCTTGATTGGGGGATCCCCCTGTCCTTTTGGCAGGGTCTATCTATGGGCTACGTGTTTTCGCACGCTGTTATATGAAAAGGATAGCTGGGCTGAAGCCCCAGCCTTTTGCACTGACCTTGATGATGATGATGATGATGATGGCGATGATGATGTGATGATGTGATGATGATGATGATGATGGCGATATTGATGATAATGCTGATGATGAGGATGATTATGATAATTGTAAAAGAAACAAAAGACTTACAACAATAATAGTAGCAACAGCATTAAGAGGTTGAAAAATAGCAGTAACAATAACAATACTAGCAAGAGTATTGGTGGTGTTGACTATAGTGGGGATTGGTTGACATGTTGTAGGTCTTTTGTCTTCCCTGAGTCGTTTGCCTACAGCGCATCGTCTAGGCTGCAGTATGGTTTCTGCCTGGTGATCTTTGGCCACCTGTTCTTTCGCAGTGTTTTGTGATCCACGAATGTGTGCTCGATCAGCCTGTTGAAGTTGCAAACGACCGGTCGTCGTTTCGTGCTTCCCTAAACATGAAAGACTTGCCACAGAAATAAGGGATGAGGGGCAGCAGCCCGTGACTCAGCGGCCGTCTTCTCGTCGTAAAGCTGTGAACAAGCCCAAAACCTAGGCCTGGGTCATCAGGGTTTCGGGTTTAGGGTTTTGGATTTGGGGGGTAGTCAGCGTTGACATCCGGGCCTGTCCTTGCGAAGTAGGAGGCAAAAAACAGCCTGGGTATTCATGGGAGCGAAAAGCTTGAACACGAAGATTTTGGGAGTATTGTCGAGCACCCAAGCCCGACAAAATCTTGAACTGAGGGGGAAGATTGAAGGCTGTTGAAGCGTCGTGGCCCAATTTCGCAAAAAATAGTGACAGGAGTTAGAGAGTTGTGGGTTCTGTGCAAAAAAGCTGCCAGCTCAGGGGCCATGGTGAAAGTCTGGGAGGCCCAGATGGGGGTCCGTTGCTCTGGGACAGAGGCCGAGCAGAAGAAGTGATTTTCCACGGATGAAGGCCGCTCTTGCCGCATTGTGGTCCCTGGAACGCTTGCTTCACTACTGCTTCTTTGGCTGGAGTTTTGGGTTCTTGCTATGCTCACCTGTGACTTGTGTTTACTATCAGCTTCCGTAATTATGATGGCACTTGCTGATGCTTATGCTGTGCCCATTCATACTGCAATACTGCAATCATATTCCGGGTTGTTAGGATCCTGCGCCTCTGCTCTACGCCCTCAACCCAAGCAGTCGGTTTGGGGTTGGAAGTTTGGGGCTTCGAGGTTAGTCTGGCTAGACTTGAGTCCAGTAGCAACAGGTGCTTCGAGGTTTGGGGTTTTAGGGTTCCGAGTGCAGCGGCTCTGAGATCCAGGCGGCCCTGTACAATTACAAGTCTGTGCACAAGGGGTCCGAGATGCTCCGGTGTCTAAGCTTTCGTGTCCGGAATGGTTTAGAAGTTTAGCATTTAGAGCGATTTAGGGTTTTGGAGGCCATGGGTCCAGCACTCGCAGCCTCTTAGGTCTGCGGCTGTGAGCTGTGGCTCAGCCCGCGTGGCTTCCACGGCCACCGGAATCAAAGTGAGTAAGAGACCTCCCGGCCCTGTCCTGAGCTGGCCCTCCCCTGCCATGCCTGTGTACACAGCGTGGCAGAGAGAGTAGTGTAAAGTTCAGTGTAAAGATTTTGTGTGTCCGACTTCTCGAACGGAGAGCTGTCCAAAGAAGACAGTCTGGTGTTCACGCATTGGGAGAGGGGCCGCAAAATGTTCTGCTGCCTACTCCTCTCAGCCCTAAACCCAACCTACACACGACTCATAGTTCCGCCCGCCTGCCGAATGCCAGAGTCGATGCCTGTCACTGTCTGTGGGAGGTTTGGGCCCGTCTTCTCTGTCGACCCGTAGTTGGGTACTGCCGTGATGTGAGTAGGCTGAAGGCGCTCGCAACGACATGAGCAAGCACTGGCTGTTGCTCTCTGCTGTCAAGGCACCGGTGCCCACTGCGCCAGTGCCGCTTGATCCGAGGCGTGGGCTAATCGAGTTGGCCAGTCTAAGTCCAGAGTGCCTTTTGTATTGGGGTCCTTTCCTCAGAATAAGCCAGAATAAGTGTCTGCGCTACTGTCTGTTGGCCTGTCCGCGGGGTCGGGGCTGGAATAGTCCTCCTGGCTTTGGATACGCTTGGGCCGGGTGTCTTGTCCGAGGGCTCGGGGCTGGAATGGTCCTCCTGGCTTTGGATAGGCCTGGGCCGGTTGGGGAGATCGCAGAGACAAGTCGCCGGCAGTGCTTCTTTTGCACAAAACTGCCAAGGCTGGTCATACATGGTGAGTTAGGTTTGGATGTGCCAGGATCCTTCGTGCAGCCTTCAACTCAAGCAGCCCGGAGTATGATACCAGGGGTGGTGGAGGGTTTCACAATGGCAGCATCATGCCAAGCTTTTGAGCTTGAAGTGACCATTGCTTCGTCATCGGTAATTGCAAACGTCATTGCATCAGTCTGTCAGGTCATGGCCGAGGGACAAAATGCCATTGGCAAGAAACAAACCCGCCGAATGTGCTTGGCTTGGCTTGGCTTGGGGCGGGTTGGGTGTGGGAGCGCAGTTAGTTTGCTGGGTTTCTGTTACACGCGTGCGCTTCAACTCAGTGATACAACTATTGACTGTTTGGGGTCGTCGCTGGTATAATTGTCGACCTATGTGTTTGCATCGATGTGCACAGAGTCGGACCACGAGTTATTTGTGTGTCTGAAGCTGAAGCTCTTGTACCTGCACCATCCATCTCTGCAATGTTGTGTTCAAGCTCATTGGTGGAGCATCTGGTTTTAGAAGCCCATGCATAGCTCTAGACAACTCAGACCGAATGCACCAGACGCTGTGTACCATTTTTTCAGTCTTTTGCCGACGCCATGGCAGTGCTAGAGATGGCGTCTCGGGTGTTGCTGGTAGCTGGCATGGGAGCCCTGTTGCCGAACCTGAAGGGAGGCAGCCTTACAAAGCCTCTCTTTGACTCGGGGGCATGCCATGATGCCATCGCCTCCGGTGCGAGTTGTCAGGTTTGCGAAACCAAGTTCAAGCATTGCAAGGGCCACTACGTCTATGAGCCCTTCACTGTCGTGCTGTTTGAAGCCATGGTCACTGTGGCCTTGGGCGTGCTTGCAACACTTGTTCTGATGCCGAATCGACAGGCAGCTTGAATGTTAAAGACTGTTACTTTCAGTCCGTGCTACCAGACCCTAGACAGTAGAGCGAATAGTTCCGCAACCCTAAACCCTCAACGCCGTAGACCTCGCCAAACCTATGTTGATTTGCATGCTGTCTAGGCAGTCAAGCAATTGCTCGACTGGCGATCCATCAAGATCGTCTTGCCTGTCGGAGCCAAGCAACTGTTGAAACGGTATCAGGTGTAGGAAAATAGGGTGTAGGTCATCGTGTAAATCATGAGCTTTGCTGCAATTGTGGGTGTTGTGCATGTTGATAAATGATAAACAGTAGCATGTTCATATTGGACGTGTGATGATGTTGCACAATCTTGTTAATCAGCGTATGGGTTGACAGACGAAATGCTCATTGTCTTCGTTCCACGGAATGTACCGTGATTCCTCTTTGTTTAAGGTACTTAAACTGGTGCAAGGCTTTGTCCAACAGTTGTGCCATTCTATGCCCTTAGCCCTGAACCGTAAACTCTGAATCCGAGCCTGCACAGTTCGAGTGTGGGAGTCGAAACCCTTAAACCCTAAGCTTTAAATCCCTAATCCCTAATCCTTAAACCCTAAATCCCTAAACCCTAAACCCTAAACCCCAGAACACCCTACACAAGGAGCCACTTACGCCATAGGCGACCTGATGGACCTGGCTGCTGCCCGCAACTGGGTTTAGGGCCTTAGAGGTTTACTGTTTTGGGTTTAGGGTTCTTGTAGAAGATATTACTTCAAAATGAGCAAGACCAGGAAATACATCGTCACGGACCCTTTCTTTCTCTCTCTCTCTCTCTCTCTCTCCCTGTATGTCTTTATCTGTATATATAGATATAGATATTTATACACGTATCTCCTCCTTATGAAGTAAAGTGTAGCAAGAACCCAGGCAATGTGTCCGGCACCACGCTGCTCGTGGCCGCCCAGCTCAGGTTGCCTCTCTGTGCGTTGCTCAGATGTGTCTTGCTCAACCGCGGTCAAACTTGGATGCAATGGTGGCTTGGACTATGTGTATAGTGTTTAGTTTTTTTTTTGTTTTGGCTAATGTGTTGGGTGTCCCGAACTCGGAGGAAAAACACTTCGTTTTTCTAGATTTTCGCTAGCTTGCAGGATTTAGGCATATGTGCATTTGTGCACCTGTTTGGATTCATGCTTGCTTTTTGCACAGATGCTTGCGCACGTAATGTAGACATGCATGTACATGAGCACATGCCGTTTCATGGACATCATGCATGTAGTCTAATGTGCTTGCAGACAGCGTCTTTTGTTGTCGACGCGCCTTCCCAAGATTTCAGCACCCTTAAATGCGTTCTGATGCACGAAGCCGCATGGCCTAGATTGTCTGTGTATACATACATGACACACACACTTACACACACACATGCATACATAAATACACACATACTCACTTATATATATATATACACACACACACACATATATATATATATACATACACACATAGATATACACATTCATATCACACGCGTGTGTTGTACTTTCGTCAGTTGTTGCAGGTATTCATATGTATACATATATGTGTACTTGGGTCTTGCATGAATGTATGTAAGTATGAATGCATGTGTGTACGTATGTATGCGCGCATGTATGCACGTATGTATGTATACATTCATGTATGTATGTAGCCATGGCTGCATGTCCGATTACTATGAGGGCTTCCATAATGTGATACTGTGTACCGGAAGCGTCCGTAATCATCGTTAGCTTTCTGTTCAACACAGAAGCGCCCAGGAAGCTAGCTTGGGAGATGGCTCGAGATGATCCCAGGAATGTTGGGATACCGCCATAAACCTCGCCTGACCTGGTCGAGCGCGAGTGCCAAGATGTGTGGATGGATGGAGGTGTGTACGCATGCATGCATGAGTGCATACGTACTTGCCCACAGGCATACATGGGTATGCATAGAGAGAGAGAGAAAGATAAATAAACAAATAAATGCATGAATAAATAAATAGATTTCTGTATAAATAAATAAATAGATACATATGTATAAACAAATACATAAATAAATAAATAAATAAAAAAATATATATATATATACGTATACATAGCGCAGATACGCATCAGGATTTCTTGTGGCCGGGGACAAAATTGCTTGAAACGACTGCGCCGATGTTCAACATGAACGCCTGCATGTCTTTATGTCTGTACACATGTTTCCAATGAGCAGATACGGTGGTTGCAGCAGCGCCGCTGAGGCAGCTGCTCTTCGTCATTACGCTGCTGTGCGTGGGCCATGTCATCCATGACTTAGGGGATACAATGACTGCGGGAGTCGACCGAACGTGGATCGCGGCCTCTCCAGATGGGATCCTGATTGCTTTGCCCCTAGTCCTGGGCAAGTGCCTGGTCAGCTGCTGTGGTGCAGTGCATGCCGAGTACTTCTTGCAGCACAAGGAGACGAAGCAGGTACCCCTCTGGATCACTCAAGTACATTTCAAGACAGCAACGATCATCGGAGCCCTCACGGTGGCGCTCTTCATGGGAAACGTGTGCGAGCGCATCCTTTCAGACCGCTGGCACAACGATATCTTCTCACACCTGCCCAATGATGTGAGTGCCGGAGATCCTCGCATTCCCTTCTTTGGAGGCTGGATCGCTTGCGGGGCTGAGGGTTTAGGGTTTAGGGCTTTGGAGTTGGCACATAGGATTTCCAGATTCAAGGAAGACCATTCCATAGCATTGATGCTGCTTTATGCTTGTGTCTGGTTGCTAGTTGCCCCACTTCCGTACTCGAAACCGGCATGTGCCTTCCACGTGGCTCAGCTCGTAAGGCATGCAGGAAGAGGTTGGCTCTTGTGAGCAGTAACATTGCCGACCCTATCCCTAAACCCTAAACCCTGACATGGCTCCGTGAAAGTGTACAACGAACACAGCTCTTAAAACAAGAACACAAGGCGTCATCCGACTGACACATACACGAGTTCGGTTTGACTCAAGGAGACTGAGACAGATGGAATAGTTCAAGACAGTATGGACAGGTACTGTACTGTGGCGAGCATCGGCGTTTAGGCGAAATCCTACGAAGCCAGAGACTGTTATCTAGGGAATCATAACGGTAGAACTCTGAGAAGCCCAAGTATGCAACGCATATGGTCGTAGCATTCGAGACTGAATCTCAATGTGTGACATGTCCCCGTGAAGCATCAAGTGGGCAGCTGCATACCTGTCTCTATATGCACACACACACACACGAACTCTAAGTCTACATCTAAGTCTAATTCCCTCTCTCTCTCTCTCTCTCTCTCTCTTTCTTTCTCGCTCTCGTGCAGACACGAGGTACGCATCAGTACATGTGTAGGGTAATGGAGTAATGGAGACAAGACAAGCAAGACAAGCTCTCTGCTTTCCCTAGTATCTGCATGTCTCATGTCACAACAGAGTCCACAAACGCACATGCACTCAGGCTGAAGGGTCCCTCGCCCTCACGTGCAGTCTTGTCTTGGGAGGCTGGGACAGTAACACCTGGATTCTCGCGGGGTGCCTCATCCTCAACAACTTCCTCGTGGCTGATCAGATGAGGAATCTCACTTCCATCGCGAAGCTGCTCGGCTGAGAGGTTCAAGGTTAAAATCGGGACCTGATTAGGAAAACCCTGGGTCTTGAAAAGGGTTCTGCATATGATGAATCCCCATATTGTGGGGTTTTGGGGCAGGGTTTCTTAATCAGGTTCCTACATTCGGGGGAATCTAGGGTGTTTGCCAAATAACACAGAATCGGCGCCGGTCACGTCAACCCTGGATGGATGACGTACTGACTTGCAGCTTTAGGGGTTTAGGGTTCTAGGGTTTTGCCTGAAGTTCCACGAACCTTTACCATTTCCCCTTTTCATGATTACCTTCATGAGCACCATTGCTTCTAAACCCTAAGACCTAAACCATAAACCCCAACCCCTAAACCTCTCGCAGTGTTTGGGTTGGAGGTACGTGGCCTATGCCATCGGCCTGGTCTTGAGCTATTTGGTGCAGCTTTGGGAAGGCCGTGCCTTTTGCGCGTGGCAGGCAAGGAAGTCTGGGGCTATAAAGTTTGGGGGCATGATATTTAGACTAAGGCTTCAGGAAGATGATAAGGTGGATGTATAAGGAGTAAGAGGAGTAGTGCTGCTGGGAGGTTGGGGTTGATGGTGGCTTGGGATTCATAGTGTAGGGTCTAGAGTTCATCGGATTCCCAGCAGACGCAGTTGCAGGCATGTTGCAACCAGTAGTCTAGAGTTCAGGGGGTTGTTGCCCTGACGGCCGATGGTGCCCCGGGCAATAAAGCGGAATCGGACTACACCCTAAACCCTAATTAGCCCATTGCGTCAGCTGGGCGGGTGGGAAAAAATTTTCCCATCCAACACTTGGCAAGCCCCAGACACTGAGTGATAAAGCTTAACTACGCCCCGAATGAAACCGATGCAGGCTTGCTCTTACGGTGGCCTCGCGCTTGCTGCTGTGGTGCCGCGACAAATTTCATCGAGAATGAACATTGCAGTACAGCGAAACAACCGTAGATTTGCTAGATTTTTCGCATGTTTCTGATGCGGTTCATGCCAGCATTTCCAACATCGTCGTGCCTTTTTTCTCTGACTTGAGGTTTGAGTTGTTGTCTTGATGGCGTGATGGCTAGCAGTGCCCTTGCGCTACTCACGCTGTTCAGTCGGTTGTTGCTGTTGAGTAGTTTCAGGTGCTCCATACAGCTGCGAGTAATAATTAGTACATACTCTACTTGAGAAGCTTATCTGATCCTTGAGATAGCTGTGGCACTTTTGAAAGCCTTTGCCCTCATGTTCAGGATGCGTCGGGGTGTACTTTTCGTTGTTATCTTGGGTCATGCTCTGAATCTTCTCAGTATTCCTTTCGTGGTCAGTGATATTTCTTCGACAGAATCAACCATGAAATTATTACCGATTTGGTGTAAGCCGTGACAATGTACCAACCTTTCTTGCTGGTTCGCTGTTTGGAGCTTTGCAGCAGCAAAGCAGTTTCTTAGCCGTATAGTCAGCAGGGTCAAAAGCAGGAATAAGGCAGTATTCGCAACTTTCGGCTAAGGCACGCCAATCCCCCAAGTAAGCGATGCCGGGCGCCTCCCTTTGCTCTCCGCCAAGGCTTACATTGCTCTGCCAGGGCCGGGCCACTTCAGATCAGCAATGAAAAGCTGAGTGTGAATTCATTCGTGGGACTCGGAGCATCGATCAGCGAAAACTCGGCGGCCCTAACTTTACATGATGCGAGCCTAATTTAATTAGTCTCTGGTCTGTGTTGGACGTGTTTAGGCAAAGCCATTCGTCGGAGCATGAAGATTGCAACTGTCCCGGTTCTATCCAAGAGCACCATATTCATGCAGCGTCATGCAGGGCCCACGGCTTTTGCAAAGTCTACTCTCGCACGCCTAAGCGAAGTCCGAAGGCTCGCGAGCCCAAATTTTATCTTCCAGACCATGAATTTTTGTTTCCTCCGGGAATGGACATCGTGCAGCTGTACCTGGGGCACGAGGCACCAAAACGCATACCGTTGTCCTTCAAGACTGAGCCTAGAGCTCACAAAGTTGTGTGCCCTTCTTGCAGCTGCCGCAGTGCACCAATTACACCTTGGTCAGATGTGCAGTTGTCGAAATTTGTGGTTCATTCTCGTTTACGGTTTGTGTGTTCGTAACCCAATTCGGCAAGGAATAGATTGCCGGATTTGTTGAATGTTTGACAACCGTCCACCTGTCTTGCTCGGTTTGGTTCTTGTGAAGCAAGGGAAGGAGCTTGAAATTCGCCGCTCCTCGTTTCCCAGCGTTCACCGGCCAAGTCCTGCACGCTGAACCCGAGGGTGTTTCGTTTTTAGACGACCAGTATCCAGAATGCATGACTGGCATTCCACGCACCCTGGAGCAGCAGCAGTGGAACCCTAAGCACTGATGTTCTAACAAGGTGGGAGGCAAAAAATGTTGTTCAGTGAAGCAAGTTCGATGTGCCAGACAATGGGTGCAGCAAGCACGCCGAAAATCGAACAACAGCACACTGACAGCACCAACAATACTAGCAATTTCTTCTGCCTGCGAGAGTAAGCCCCACATTACCGATGGTTTTAACCCTCACGATGTGACTGTTATTTCACCTGTCACTCCTGATCCTATCACCATCTTCACCAAATGGCACTGTTAGCACAGCCAGTGCTACTGCTGCTGCTGTTGCTACTGCTACTGCTGCTGCTGCTGCTACTACTACTACTACTACTACTACTACTACTGCTCCTGCTCCTGCTACTGCCACTGCCACTGGCTCTTGCTACGGCTACTGCTACGACGACTATTCCCATTCCTACTGCTACAGCTATTACTACTACTCCTACTACTCCTCCTCCTTCTCCTCCTCCTGCTGCTGCTGCTGCTGCTACACTGCGGCTGCTGCTGCTGCTGCTACTCCTACTCGTGCTCCTGGCCACTGATACTGCTGCACCACGACGACGACCATGACCAGCACTGTCATTACAGCCACTGTCTATGTGCCAAACACCTAATTCTACACAAGAGTAGCTGCAGCTTAGTCGTATGAACTGGGCTATCCATGATGATGGACGGGAATGGCACTGGCTGCTATAACGAGGAGCTTAAAAACTCATGATGTCGATTTGTTAATGCTGGGCCTTCAGGGGGCAGCAGTAGTCGCAAATCATAGAAACACCTGCACAAACCAGCTTCAGGCCAAGGTTACCGCGACGACTTCGCCGGAAAACAATAGCACGGCTTGCAAGCATGTCTGCAACTCGTATAGGGGACGTGCTAGTTGGTAGCATTGTATCGGCTTCATGTGGAATGACTGAACTGTTGCGAGCCCTTCGAGCTCGTGTGCATGTTCTGTTTGTGCAAGCTTCCTGAGGCATTGAACTCACAAACTCTTTGTTGGAGACTGGTTCAGAGATTAAGCATTAAGGTGCGTGGTTCAGTTTAAGTCTTCAACTGGAAGTGGACGGTCTGGTTCTTCAAGCCATGAAGCAGGAACTACAAACTCTAAAGCCCAAAGCCTCCAATCGCAGATTCAACACCTGAAGCCCCAAGACCGAAAACCTGGACTGGACATCGCACACTCCACCCTTGGAAAGCTTAAGCGGGGAGCCTGAAGCCCAAGACCTTGCCTGTGATCCTGTATCTGGGTCCTATAACAAAGCCCCAATACGGACTAAAAAGGATCATGTTAATATGGCCTCAACACGGAACCGGATTGCGAGTGATCATTTTGATATGGCCGCAACAGGGAACCGGATTAAGAATGATCATGTTAATATGGCCTCAACAGAGAACCAGGCATGTGCCTTCGCTGGCGGATCCCAGAATCAGCATAGCCCGGGGTAGAAGCGCTAACATGTAACTTCCGATCCCCTACCCCTGATCGGGAGTTTCACAAAGGACCTGTAAGTGGCCCTTTGTGACTTTCATATGCTAGGATCCTCGATATCACCGAGATACTTCAAGACGCTACCCTCAACTCCAAATCTCAATCCTCAGAGCCCGAAGAGTCTCTCAATCCCAGTCCTGCCAAGTCCTACACCCCCCAAGCCCAGACGCTCGAAGCCTTGTTTCAGGAGCAAGTCGGCGGACCCCCGGAAACCCGAAAGCCTAAGCTCGCATGGGGTTTGTCAAAGAACAAATGGGGGTTTTGTCTCTAACCGGCTATGCACCAAGAGCTTCGCCCCTGGCATGTCCGAGCGTGAGGGCGGAAACCCGCATGCTGGGTTGATTCTGGACTGAGGTGTGGTTGGGAGGCTTGTGGGTAGCTTTCAGTTGTTCTCTAAATTCGGGTCCCTTTTCAGGTCCCAATACAGTGCGGCAGCGTTATAAAGAGGACCCTGATTTAGGAAAGCACCCTTGTCGTGAAGCCTGTGCCGCCTGAGAGTCGAAATCCGAAGCAACGAGCTTGGCAACCCACCCCTAAACCCTAAACTCGAAACCCTAAACCCTAAACCCTAAACCCTAAACTCGAAACCCTAAACCCTAAACCCTAAACCCTAAACTCGAAACCCTAAACCCTAAACCCTAAACCCCACGGAGGGCGAC